GAGACATATCTGGTCCAACTGGCATCAATTATGGAGTGGTGAAGAAAGAAGGAAACAGTTCTGGAGATGTGCTAAGTCAAGTTTTGAAGTGAAATTTGAAGATGAGATGGATAAACTCAACAAATTAGGTAATAAAATTTGTGAGGACTTGTTGCATTATGAAAAAACTACTTGGTGCAAAGCATATTTTAAGAGCATTCTAAGTGTGACATTGTTAAAAACAATATGTGTGAAACTTTTAATTCTTGGATACTAGTTGCTAGACATAAAACTATCATAACTATGCTAGAGGAGATTAGGCACAAGATAATGGACAGAAATATTGCAATGAGGCAATTTGCTGAAACTTGGATCTCAGATATCTCTCCTATGGCTAGATTAGTACTAGAAGAGAACAAAGATCTTGCTAGATTTTGTGAAGTTAGATTCAATGGTGATATTGTGTATGAAATCTTAGATGGTCAATACAGACATATTGTTGATATAAGAAAGAAGACATTTACATGTAGAACATGGCAATTGAGGGGCATACCATGTCAACATGTTGTGCTTGCATATCAGCACAAAGGCATAGAACCTGAACATGAAGTGGTACATTGGTATAGGAAAGAGACTTTTTTGAAGGCTTATAATCATTTTCTACAGCCAATACCAAACATAAAAATGTGGCCTCACACTAGTGGTGTAGTGATTGAACCTCCTGAACCAAAAGTCATGCCTGGTAGGCCACCAAAGTGCAGAAGAAAGGCAAAGAATGAGCCTAGAAAAAAGTATGGAAAGTTATCCAAAAGAGGAGTAAAAATGACATGTTCACTGTGTCATCAAGTAGGACACAACAAAAAATCTTGTCCAACATTGGTAAGTTATTATTCTCTTCTAATACATTTACAATAAGCTTCAATTATTATTATTGTATTAATAGGCTGAAATGGGACAAACTGGAGGCTACCCAAACAGGAAACCAAGCTCAAGCCAACCATCACTGTCTAGCCAACCATCAAGCTCAAGCCAACCACCATTGTCTAGCCAACTATCAAGCTCAAGCCAGCCACCACTTTTTAGCCAACCATCAAGCTCAAGTCAGCCACCAGTATTCAATCATCAAGGCAGTTCTATGTGTTTTGATTCTTCAGCTGTTAGAAGAGAGCAACAACCTGCTAAAAGCAGAGGCAGAGGCACTGGGAGAGGTACTGACAGAGGAACTGGTAGAGGCACTGGTAGAGGCACTGGGAGAGGTACTGGCACTGCCAGTGAAATTGAAAGAGGCAGTGTTTTCAACATTGGAGGTGTATCAAGTCAGCAACCTGATCAACCAAGGGCTGTGGAAGCTTCAATATCAACAGGAAGACAAAAAAGGACCAAGACTATAGGATTTGGCATCTATACAAATGCAAGTGGTAGTCAAACCTTTAATGTAAGTGTATACATAATTTTGTTCATTTCTTACTCTACTATATAAAGTCTCATTTTAAGATATTTCCATGCAGCCTGGTACTTCAGGAGAAAAAGTTATCAATTCGAGAGTTTATAAGGATGCATCTCCAACAAATATTGATATTGGTTATAAGCCTTGAGGACTCAAGTGGAATGGTGGAGATGCTGTCACTGGTTCACAGTTGCAACGTATCACTCAGTCAAGGAAAAACAAGCGTGGAACATCTAGTGCACCAAAGAATGCCTAATTTATGTAGACTAGTCACTTTTTGGTTGTGTAATTAGCAGCAGAAATTTGTATTGACTGCTTTAAAACTTGGAGCTCACTAGAGCAAATTAATGGCATGAATGATCAATTTTAACTGCTTTTGAGACACAAATTATCTTCATTCCTTCAATTAAATCATTACAATAAAAACACAAGGCATTTACAGTAGAAAAATCGATCTAAATTGCCCATAAAAAACACTAGAATCTACCATACATACTTTTATGAAGGAATCTAATAGAAGACAAATGAATCAACTAAGATTATTTTTTACACAAATCCAAGTAGCCAATATCACCCCTATGATGATGCATATTATCCATACTTTTCTTGATCGATTCCTCTCCAATTCATATGTTTTGACTCTTTTCAGCAAACCTCATATCACCCTCCTAGCTTGAGCAGGCATTTCATCATCATACCATCGAAAATATCCACATCCACCTCGTGCCTACAAAATTAAAGAAAAAAATTGAATTATATAAATAAGGTGATTCTTTACTATATTGGACAAAAAAATAAATTTGATTTACCTTTGAAGTTTTGCAACAAAGGAACCTACGTCCAGGATTGAATTGCGTCCATGAGGTCTTCATTTCCACAACGTTCCCACATTGACATAGTACTTTCGTAGTTGAAGAAGAAGAAATCGATGAAGAAGATAAATTCGACATTGGAACTTAATGATTAAGAAAAAATCAATGAAAAAGAGATATAAGAGGAGAAATAATGATAAAGAGAAACAAAAGAGAAGAAATAAGGGATGAAGAGAAACAAAAGAGGAGAAATAATGGAAGAATGGGAGAAATTAGGGTTAAAAGGGGGAAGAAGATCGTTGGTGGGTGGTTGAAGATCCACATCAGCACTTTTAAAGCGTCTGCACGCGCTTACAGGACGTGAGATCACGTTTGGCTCCACATCAGCCAAAAATATTTAAAAGGATCAAATTATAGGGGTTAAAGGATTTAATAGGAATCTTGGTTAGTTGAGGTACCTGGGGGAAAAGCGCGAACAACTTTAGGGACCTGCGTATGTATTTGGCCAAAAAAAATAAAAAAAAAAAAAAAAAAGAAAGAAAGAAAGTTAAAAATAGAATATTCAATTGTTTTTTACCATCTTGATTTGACAATATTTATATGTTACTAGCCATATTAGCTCCACTTGTTTTCTTTTTTGAAAAATGCATCTCATGAAGCATTCCAAAATTTAATTAAATTATTTATTCTTTTTAATAACTCAAGAAGGAATTGACTTATATTTACAGAACTATTTTAATTCTAATCTTTGTTCATCGAAGAATGATATAGTTGAATTTATAATGAGGTTAAGAATATGTGTTATGATTTATTTCGTTTAATTTGATTACAAACGGTTAAATATGTTTATAAATGAGTTAAATAAAATCATTTAAAAAAAATAAGCGAATAAAAGAAATCAAAATAAGTGATATAGTTTTAACAATTAGATAGTGTTCATGGTCCGATTCAAAATTGTTTAGTAAAACTTGAGAGCCAAGACTTGGAGCACAAAAAAATCAATATATTGCTTTTTGTATTGTTTAGAGTCTCACAATTTATAATTGTGTTTTTTTTTTTTTAAAAAAAAAGAAGGTGATACTTCACAACAAATAGTAAAATTCCACTTGAGTGCTTAAGTACTATGTCCAATGACCACATTGCACATAAAAAAATTGTTAACATTGCTAGCAAATATTTTTTTTGTTATTGACTGGATAAGATACGAATATATTTGGTGTATTTATCCTTTTGTACTTTTATCATGTGATAGAGACACAAGCCCTCTATCTTCATACTATGAATTTCAAATTTTTTTCCATGATAAACACTTTATAATCTCGATAATAAGTAGAGATTGAATTTTATCAAACGCTATCTCTAAAATTGATAATTTCCCCCAAAATAGTTTCCTTGAGCCTCCTTTACTAATGCCACATGATCACCCTTCAAATACTATTTTTCTCCAATCTAGCCAGTAATATTTTGCAAAACTTCGTTCAGATATCATAGAAGTCTTTCAAAAAAGTTTTCTAAAGATAAAATACTCAAAACATAGTTCTGAAAATCATAAATAGCAAACTTGGTTTTCAGTTATATTTTTTCTTAAAACTACTGGCTGTTTGGTAAAAAAAAATATAATAAAATCAATTGTTTTCTTAATTTATTTAGTATTGATTTGACTCAATTTTAAAAAAAAATTATTATAATAATAAATATAACATAATTTTATAATATCACCTTTGAAATATAATAAATTCAAAAATAATCAAAGTTAATAAATAATAATAAAGACAATTTAGCAATTAAACTGTCTTTTGATTTTCAAAGTAGACAAGTATGTGTCTGTATATATATTAGACAAGTAAAAATAGGTAGTCTTTATCAAATTATCTCTCTCTCTCCCCCCCCCCCCTTTTTTTCGTTGACGTATAAATACATGGCAGCGTAATTTATGAAATAACTATGTGTATAGTTTACATAATTATATTTTATGAATATAGTTTAGTTTGTTATGTATCTTTTAATTTGTGTAAAACATATTTTTTTTGTTCTTAATTTATTTAATATTTTACTTTTTCATTGAATGATAACAATAATGCTAAATACGATAACAAATATTTACATAATTACATGATTTAAGCTAACCGTCCAAAATTAAATATTTTCCTAAAAAAAAATTAAATAAGTCGTATGAAACACTCAAACGTTAATGATCCTATTCGTATATACATAAATTGATTATATTGTATATATTTGAGAAATTGTATATATTCATGTGTAATTGATTGTGTTATTAACTATATATGTGACCATCATAATATGAAAATTGTATATGAGACAACCGTGTTTGTTTCAACCAAAAAAAGACTATGTAGTATTTGTTTTAATTTTTTTTTTGTGTAGTCTGTTTTATACAATATTTTTTTATGTTCATATTTTTTTAAATACATTTAGGACTTTGAATAATGTACAATAATTTGGTATATGAATTATATTTGTTCATGAGCATATGTAATTTCTTGTTTTTTTTAAAAAAAAATTAATGATTAAAATGATTGTATAATATTCATTGTCAATTGAATATATGCTAAGCTTGAAATATGTTTGTATATTAGAGTGTGTAATGTGTATTACAATACTTTATTGTGTTCATAATTTTTTTTTTGTATATATCGACGAATTTGTATAATTTACAATAATTTTGTATATGTATTATACAATGATTTTAACAAATTTCGTTTATACAAAACTAAATATTTGTATACAAATAGCTAATGTCTTATAAGACTTTGTATATGTTATTACCTTAATATACAACCCACTAGATATATAACTTTAGGGGTTGTTTGAAAACTGGTTAAAGTTATGCAGATATTAGCTATGTAGGGTTTAGTTAGGCATGGTTTAGTTATGTAGGGTTTAGTTATGCATGTATTAGCTATGCAGGATTTAGTTGTGCAAGTATTAGTTATGAAGGGTTTAGAGATTACAATACATGAATTATTATCTATTGAATATTAAACTTGTTGTAAATTATTAATATATATTATGTAAAAAATAATAATACATGCTAATAAAATGTGAAATTTATTGAATAATATATAATTTTAAATATTTGATTAGCATATGTACCGTTAAAAAATATACAATCAATTTCTAATATTAAAAAAATATTTATATTTGCATAAATCAATCAAAACGGTAAGTATATAAAAAGAAATGAAAATAATCTATATATAATAAGAAATAAAAACAACACATGTTCATAGGAAATAATAAAGTTTCCAATTAAAAAAATTAAAAGAAATAAAAATGGTCTAAATATATATATATATAAAAAAAAGAAGAAATAAAAACAACAAACTTATATATAGGAAAACAATAAAATTTCAATTAAAAATAATAAAATAAATTAATAGGGTAAATATGTAATTTATCACTTTGATACATATATAACTAATACCCACATGACTTGTTCCACCGTATACACTGCATAACTTTATACATAAATTCTCTTATAAGTTATGTTGGTATTAGTTATGTAGGACTAAAAAAATACAACCAAACATGGTATGAGTTATGATGACTTTTCTACCTAAACAAAAATTTCTACCAAACATAGTATAACTTATACATTATTTTATACATGAATAAAATATAAGTTATACCGTAATCAAACGGCCCCTTAATAATTGGTATAAAACTAATAGAATATACAAAGAACAATTGTCTCATAATACTTAATATACATTACCTTAATATACAACCCATTATATACATAACTTTAATAATTTGTATATAAATTACACTACCTGATATTTCTTATGTTCTTCAGATTTGTCCAGTTCTAATGAGGTAGATCCAATCTCCTATGAATTAATTTTTCTAACTTTTCTCTTATTTCCATTTCGAGTTGTTGATGACTATCTAAATTGTCATCGAGTCATTTTTTTCAATCTCAATTTAACAGATTGTTCAACTTGAACTTGTCTATCACCATAGACCCTACATTTACCCCAAAACCCTGAGTTAACCAATTGAAAAAGGAAGTGGATTATTAACAATATTGACATGCAAATGGAATACCTCTGCTAATCCTTATAGATGGAGATGAATCCTCCATTCTGATTTTGAAGACCTTATAATTTGATAAGAAAGAAAGATTTAATATATATATATATATATATATATATATATATATATATATATATATATATATATATATATATATGAAAAAACTAAGAAGCATAATACGTATATAATTATTAATGAAGGAAAAAAATAAAAAAAATGGGATTCATGGGTTGAAAGCAAGACACGAAGAGAACATAAAAATTTTCTAAATTCGAAATTCAGATTAGGGGTGGAGGAGTGATTTTAGGAGAAAGATATAGAATGAGGATAGGAGAGATCAAATTGATTTTTGTATAAAATTATATACAAAAGTATAAAAAGGTCTTTTACGGTTGGGTATAAAAAGAGGTGGTGAGTCTCATTAATATGCTAAAAAAATGAAACTATAATTACTGAGAGTAAATAAATTAAACTATACCCTTATTAATTAATTACTTAGGGATATTTGCCATCCCACGTAATTTTTCCTTCTTCTTTTGATTTATATTTGTATACAATGATTTAGATTTGTATTTCCTTTGGTTTTTCAGTTTTGTCACCATATACATTCAATCTTTTTGTTTGTAACCTTTTAAAGTTTGTATAAACGTGTAGTTTTCAGATTTTGTATAATTAATTAATATAATATATTTTGTATAACTGTTTTAAGTTCATATGTTTATGTTTGTAACAATTTGTTATTTCAAGTTTTATCATATTTGTATAATTTCAGACTTTATATTGCTCGCAAAAACACGCGAATTATACAAATGAGATGACTTCATATTGCTCAATTATACAAAAACACATGAAATTTATACAAATGAGATGTAAATTAACAAATTATTGCTCAGTCTCTCTCGCCTCTCTCCTCCCTTTTCCATTCTCTTTCTCCATATATAAATGCATATGTATAATATACAATTATCTAACTGATATACAAATATAACTCACCTTTCTCCCACTCTCTGCCGTTTCTCATTCACCTCTCTCCTCCCTCTCCCAATCTCGATCGTCTCTCTCCTCCCTCTTCTAAACTGGCTCGCTTCTCTCATCTCTCTCAATCTTGCTTGCTATATATACAAATACATATGTATAATATACACTTATCTAATCGATATACATATATAATTCACCTCTCTCCCTGTCACGACCCAAATCGAGTAGTAAGTGACACCCACACTCAAGCTCCTAGGTAGGAGAACAAACAAATTTAACCCCAACTTACAAAATACTAGCATAAAGCGTAAGCTCAAAATCTTACCAAATATCATTATCCAAAACCTGAAAGTCATCACATTAAGGACATCTAATCTCCAAATACTAAGTCTAAAAATATCAAATACACCAAAATAAAAGAATAACATGGTATGAGTCCAAAAACATAGGACATCATGCTATGACCGAGAGAATCCAACACGAGCTTGAATGACTAGCTAGAGCTGAGGGCAATTTGAAGTCATTGGTACACTTGTTGCACTCATTAAAAGAAAAACAAAGAAAAACACAAATAGGGCTCTATACGGGGCAACAAGTACTGAGTAGGTATCATTGCCAACCCAAAATAGTAACTAATATACAATGAATAATAGTATGAACTCAACTATGACACTTAACAGGTGGTAACCAACAAACAACATGAACAAGTGACTACATAATCAATCATAATATCAAACATACTCATGAGGACTCATGCTTCCACGCCACGACTCATTTGGAAAATGTGTTCTTTGAGATTGTTTACATTAACTTAATTCAATATCTTTTTCCTTTAATGTTCTTGTGTCGGAATGTGACACTCCGATCCAATTATATCGTGTCGGAACGTGAATCTCTGATCCAATAATGCCATTAATTTATCATTTATTATCACCACTTTTCAATTCATCGATAATATTTCATCGAGCCTTCTTTATTCAAGACATCACTTTGACAAAGAGGGTTCAAGATCATAAATTTCACGGTCTCAGGATTTCGGACCAATCACAAACCACACAATATCACAATCAAGTACATAGACTTCACAATATCATTCAATGTATATCAATCGCATTAAGAGTATATCTATCAAATAGAATAAACCATAACCTACCTCCACCGAAGAACCAAAGTGAAACAAACTACTTCTCCATTTCTTTTCCTTTCCTCAATGCCTCCGAACTTTCCAATCTATCAAGTATATATATTCATATTTGTAAGTTAACGAGTCTATAAGCACTCATATTATTCTATGTCTAGCTTGAACCCGAAAAAAAGACTTACATAATTCTTTAATCAATTTATTAAAGTTCAAATCGTAAGGTTAAGTCTAAATTCCTCCAATCAATATTACTTTAATAAAATTTAAATAATTCACTACACCTAATATGTAACTATCTATTTCAATATATCAAAATATAATTTACAATGTAGAAACAAAATATTAATATATAAAGATGGAAGCCACATGTCGCGAAACCAGTGTAAACGAACTAACAACGATCCAAACTTAATTCAATTATAACGCCTAGATCCCAATTTGATTAAGAATCATCATACAACCTTAGTTGCTCAATATTAATGTTTGGTCTCCATCTTCCAATCACAATGCACTATTAGTATTTAATTGAAGTCCTTATATAGCCACAATGTTTTATGATATAATAAGATAAGGACCACTAGATTATTTTAATAATCATAATTATAAGGAATCGTATTACAACAACCAAATTTGTTAATTTTATGCTTCCATTAATTTGTTAAACTATTTACATAGTGCAAAAGAAAAAAACAAACAAATTGAAACTTAATTACTGCCATATCATCGTTATTCCTTCACCTCTCTATTATTCTCCTATCATTACTTTCCTATTTGTATGACATCATCAATAAAATAATAATTTAACCTGAAGAGAATACGAACCTTAGGAATATGGAATGCTTCCAGTTAATTTCTATAAAACAAAAAATTTTAGTACTCAAAACGACTAAAAGGGTCGTTACACTCCACTCTCTACCTTCTTTCACTCTCCTCTCTCCTCTCTCTGTCAATTTCATTCGTTTCTTTTCTCTCCATAACATGTAGCTATAAACTATAATTATCAACCTATAGCTATGAACCCTTAATGAATTCCTTTTATATATATCTTTATATTTCCAAATTAAAATTTACCTAAAATCTAATTTCTCTTTCCTCCTCTTTCAAATCAAAATTTTTTTTCCTCTCTTTAAAACGATTTGTGCTCATATTTTGTGTAAATGGCTTCAAAATTTTTTTGTCATTGTGGAAAAAGAGCTATAATGAAGATTTCTTGGTCTGCAAACAATCCAGGTCGTTGGTTTCTTTGATGTGAAGATGGTCGGGTATGGTTTCGTTTAAAACATAATTTTTTGTTTAAATTTTAGTTCTCAAGATTCAATTTTGATAGTGAATTTGTTCTTCTTAAACAGACCGGTTACAAGCTTTTTAGGTGGTGTGAACTTGATTATACTGAACACGCTAGAATTGCTATTTCAGAATTACAAAAGAGGATAAAAAAACATGATGAAGAAAAGGAAAAGATTAGGAGAAAATATCGACTTTTGCTGATCATTGTGATACCATCTTGGATTTATAGAGAGTTCTTTATGTAGTAAATGTTAGGCTGTTATTTATGCTAGTTGAAAAAATTATGCCAGAATTGTTATGTATAGGCTTTCTTTATGGGTTAGGGGCTGTCAATATGTATTTTAAGCAATCAAAGTAATGAATTGAAATGCACTATTTTAGAGTTGACAGTTTATCTCCAACATTGACTTCAATATTCATCACTTTTACAATCAAATAACATTATTCAAACACTTTCATACTAGCATGATTCACACACTTTCATACATAGTAAACACCTAACATCAAGGCAGCCTTAATATCAATCATAACAAACACCAAAAGGCTTCACAAAACACAACTTAATATCCATTAAACACAACTTAACAAACTCCAAATATTTGTCTATGCAAACATACATCAAAATAACCCAAAATACATCAAAATGATCAGTAATTGGACTATGCCTTTACAAACAGTTACCAAACTAAACAAAAACAAAGACCTCCTAGATCAACATTTATACACATCAGTAAGACTTTGAGCTCTTACGAAACCCACTTTCCCTTGGATTTGCTTTGCACCTTTTTCTTTGACAATTGTTGAAGTTGATTTCTAGTCATTGCATCTTTTCCTTTCCATTTTAAACTAGGTAGCTTGAATCCAGACCAACATTTGTTTGTGATGCATCTTTAAATGTCACCCCTGTTCCACTTGAGATAACTCTTTCACTTGATCTTCCTGGGTGCATAATTCATAGGGCATTATTTAGTATACCTAAATAAAGATGTAAGGAAATCAATTAAAGAAGGCAATATACATACATTAATCACTTGTCTTCATGATTGTATGTCTGTGTAAACACCAAATCCCACATCTCTTGTTCTTTTCCTTCCAACTGAAGTAGTTGGTTGCATTCCAACTAAAGAAGTTGGTGGCCTTCCAACTGAAGAAGGTGGTGGCATTCCAACTGAAGAAGATGGTGTCCATGCAACTGAAGAAGATGATGCCCTTGCAGTTGACTGCTTCTTTTTCCTTCCTTTAACCTTTGAAGTATCTGCACATAAAGAAGAGGCCTTTCCAGTGCTAGGCTGCCTCACTGGTGGTTGTGAAGGCTGCCTCACTGGTAGTTGTTGAAAGGGCCTTGCAGGCTGTTGTGTGGGTTGTTCAGAAGGCTGTAAAGACACACAATTAGAAGTGTAAAACTGATTAAAATTTAAAAGAAAGACAAAAGTACTTACCACTGATATACAAGTTCTTTTGTTATCCCCAACTTGATGGCATTTGGAACATGACATCTTCACTCCATCCTTTGATGTTTTTCCCAACTTCTTTTTTCTTGGTTCATCTTTATCTTTTCTTCTACATCTACCTGGTCTTCCAGGCATTGGCTTCACTTCAGGAGGCTCAACTGGTGGGTTATTGGTGTCAGGCCACATTACCATATTGGAAATGAGTTGTAAAAAGTACTTATATGCACTTAGAAATGTATCTTTTTTGTACCAATGTTCCACATAATCTTCTGGTTCTTGCCCACTATGATATAAGGCACAAACTGCATGTTGGCAAGGTATGCCCCTCAATTGCCACAACCTACAACTACATGTCTTTTTAGTCATGTCAATTATGTGTCTATACTCCGCTTCTTGGATTTCAAATCCAATGTCATGATTCCAATTCACCCTTAGTGCCCTGCCAATCTCTTTATTTTCTTCTAAAATCAGTCTTGTCATAGGTGAAATGTCACTGATCCAAGTATCTGCAAACTTAATCATATCTCCATGCCTATCCATCATTTTATGCCTAATATCTTCAAGCATACTAATCACAGATTTGTGTCTAGGACCAACAATCCATGAGTTAAATGTTTCACACATATTATTTTCCACCACATCACACTTTGATCTTTCACTAAATAAAGCTCTACACCAATATTCTTTGTTATATCCAAGCAATGCCTCACATATTTTATGACCCAATTTCCCCATATAATCAAATTCATCTCTTAACTTAACCTCAAAACTAGCTTTGGAGCACCTCCAAAATGCTTTTCTCCTTTCCTCACCTCTCCATCTTTTTTGCCAGTTTGCCCAAATATGTCTTGCACACATTCTTCTTTCAGCATTAGGAAGTAAGACTTCCACTGCCACCTCAAGACCCTAAGAAATATAAAATCAAGACACTTTATTTATCACACACACTAAAGCTATCACTTACTTCACACACTAACAACAGACAGTGAAAACTTACAGTAACACACAAAAGAAAAAGCAGAATGAATACCTTTTGCATGTCAGACATGATTGTTATGTCATTTCCATCACCAAGTTGCAAGTCTTCAATGAGATAGCTTAAGAACCAACTCCAAGAGTGTTTAGTTTCTTGATCAACCACAACCCAAGCTATTAGATACATTTGATTGTTTCCATTTTTTCCAACAGCCACTAATAATTCTCCTCTACAAGCACCCTTCAAAAAGCATCCATCCAATCCTATAATCTTCCTACAACCTTCTAGCCATCCATTTTACTATGCAGCAAAACAAACATAAAAATATTTGAACAAGTGTAAGCCAGGGACTGTTTCATTATCAGTTCTTACCCAACAAGAACTCCCAGGGTTTGTACTCTTAATTATATCAGCATAGTCTAACAACCTTGAAAACTCAAGTTTCCAATCACCCAAGAACTTGGCAATGACATTCATTTTTGCCCTGTAACATATTGATCTTCCCACTTTTAATCCCCATTCTTTTCTTAGTGTCTCTTGAAGCTTATGAACTCTCATATCAGGCTGAGATATTATTCTATCTCTCATCTTCATTTCCACATATTTGGCTGTGCACAACCTGTTCCTATTCTTTGTAATACATCTATGAGCAGGATAGTATTTCTTTACAAAAAAATTTCCAGAATCTTTATCCAAGCTTGCAAAGATTTCCCATTTACACTTCCCTTCACATTTTACCCTAACTCTATGAGGTTCATTGGGTTTAAGCCTTAACTGAACCTTATGTTGAACAGCATAATCAGCAACAACCTTTCTAAATTGAGTTGCACTCTCAAATATCATACCCAACTCAAAGAAAGAAATGGAAGAAGAAGAATCATACCTCAGTTTGTGTCTTTTTCTTCTTGAAGGTAAATCAACACCCGGTTGTGCTAAAACATCTAGCTCCTCATCACTATCTTCACTTAGTTCATTTGATGAATCAATAAACACTTCATCACCTCCCAATTTTCCATTATATTTGGCTGCCTTATTGTTGAAGAAATTTTCAAATCCCTTATCTATGCCAACTTCTCCAAGCTCAACACTTTGATCCTTTAAGGGTTTTTTGGTTCTTTTTTTTTCTTTGCAGATTCATTCTTTTTGTCTTCCCTAAGTTTTTCTCTAAAAGATCTCAGTTCTTCATCAATTTCACTATCATCCTGATCTGGAACATCATCTAAGTCATCCTCTTCAAAGTCAAGAGAATCACCATTTCCTTCTTCTAATGGTTGTTCAACTTCACCTACCCTGTGTGAAACCCTAGAGCAATTTCCCAATTCTTGATTATTTTTTTCAATAGAAAATTGTCCCAAAGTAGTGGACCCCCCTTCTTTATCAGTCACATGCTTCAAAAACAACTTAATAGATGACCCACTCCACAAATCTTTAACAAAGTTATATAGTTGGCTGTCACTTTCTAACTTAACAAAATTATGGTTAAAGGGTCTTCAGTAAAAAAAAACATCAATTTCATCATACCCAATATCTTTTGCATACGATTTCAGTTCGGTCAAAGAGAAGTGGTCCTTATGTATGCTGATAACGATGTTTCCCAATTTCGACACATAATGACCTTTATAAAATCGACCTCCATGGTGAAAAATAGCTATAATATGACCCATATGTATAAAATATGTAAGAAAATAACAATTTTACATTAATCGTGACAGAAAGATTCTACTTTGTAATCAAAGATAAACTTTCAAAGGACCAAAATCGAGGCATACCTGAACTAAATCGAGGAAGATGAACAGATGAACATCAACTTCAGTAGCAATCTTGAATGATTTTCGCCTTTGATTCCAAGATTTTGATTCCAAGATAACCTAGGGTTTTTTGTTTGGAGCTAAGTTACTGATGAACAAACGAGTTAAAATTTTGAAACTTTGATAATGCAACTTCTAGAAAGGTGCCTTCTAGAAACGTTACCCTCTATGTAATTTAAAATCAATTTTATTTTTTTTACTTCTTAAATGACGTGTAAAATATTTAATTAGTTGATAGTTATTGAGTGGCTCACTAATACACGTGGGCGCGATTGTATTTTACGCTCTTTGGGTCCAAAAATCGTGTGTGTATTTATAAAAAAATAGGATAGTTAAAGTGCCTATTTGTGCACTTTAAAAGTTTGAGGTCATACTTAAAATTTGAAGCCAAATTTAAGGGCAAATATATGTATTATGCCCTTTTAAAAAAATAGTAAAATTTCACTCGAGCCCTAAGATATTATGTCCAATGACCATATTGCACATGAAATTATTGTTAAATATGCTACTTAATATTTCTTTGTTGTTGGCAGGATAAGATACAAACATATCTGGTGTTTGTTCTTTTGTCATGTAATCAGGACACAAGTCTTCTAATAAGAGTGGTTGATGTTGTTTCTCTATGTATTTATTTGTCCAATAAGAGTGGTTGGGTTTATGCCCTGATTTATTATCATAAACAAGTTTTTCTTTTAGGAATTTTTTTAAATATTTTACTAGTCCTTTTCTTGTAGGAAATGTTATAGGACTCTGTAAATATATGTTTGTTCCTTCTAACTTAATCAACATTCACAATATAGTCCTAGAATTTTGAGAGTTGCGGTTATGAGGGAGAATTTTGTGTACCTCCTTATATTCCGAGTGAATTGGTTGAGGTTGTTTCTCTTTGTATTTTGTACTCTCATATTTATAGTAGATTGCTCATCTCCTTTGTGGACGTAGGTCGATTGACCAAACCACATTAAATGTTTGTGTCTTTTGATATGTTTCTCGTTTATCTTGCTACTCGTGGTCTTAGGTTTACTTTGCTAGATTTCACATTAAACCTGCTTATTTTTTGTCCTAACAAGTGTTATCAGGGCCTGATTCAACGATGGAGCCAGGTTAGAAATGGTTATGTCTTGGTGGGTGTAGTTCTAGCCGTAACCTTTTTGGTAGTAATGAAAATTTATGTTAGAGAAATTATTTCAGAGAGGTTCTTTGTGACGAGACATACTTTAATGAAAGATATTATGGAGAGAAGAAGCAAACTATTGAAAATTATGTAAAGAAGGTGGATAAATTTATTTTGTCAGAAATTCAAGTCAAGGGGGAGGTTTGTTGGGTTTTAATTGCCCTGAATTTATTACCATAAATAAGTTTTCCTTTTAGGAATTTTTTTTAAATGACTAGTATTTTTCTAGTAGGAAAAGGTTTTAGGACTCTATAAATATAGGTTTGTTCCTTCTAACTTAATTAGCATTCACAATGTAGTCCTAGGGTTTTGAAAGTTGAGGTTATGGGGGAGAATTTGTGTACCTCCATGTATTTTGAGTGAATTAGTTGAGGTTGTTTCTCTCTATATTTTGTACGATCATATTTACAGTGAATTACTTATCTCCTTTATGGATATAGCTAGATTGACCGAACCATGAACAAAATACTATTGACTTGTTTGGTGTTATTAATTGTTCTCTTGATATAAGATGAGTCTTAACAAACACTAATAATTTCGACTCAAAAGACTTAAGTGTGATTATATATATTTAAATCTAGAATTTTGAAATGTGTCACATAGACGGAGAGAGTATAGACGGAGAGAGTATTAGTCTTATCATGGTAAAATTTATCTAAAAACATTTGTATCACTTTCTTAATTGTTAGCACCATCGTCATATAATACCACCTTCTTGAATACACCTTCTAAACTATTAAAAACTATTAATTATACATAAAATAAAAAGGTGATACTTCAAGAAATAGTAAAATTTCACTCAAGTCCTATGTCCAATGATCATATTGCACATAAAATGATTGTTAATTGTGCTAGCTAACACTTCTTTGTTGTTGGCAAGATAAGATACAAACATAATTGGTGTATCTGTCCTTTTGTTCTTTTATCATGAAATCGGGTCACAAGTCCTCTAACAAGAGTAATTTTGAGGTTGTTTCTGTGTATTTATCTGCCCAACAAGAATGGTTCGATTTATTTGTCTTGATTTATTATCATAAATAAGTTTTGCCTTTTAGAAAAAGATTTTTATATTTTACTAGTTTTTTTTTTCGGAAAGGTTTTAGTGCTCTATAAATATAGACTCGTTTCTTTTAATTTAATCAACATTCACAACGTAGTTTTACGATTTTGAGAGTTGCGGTTATGGGGGAGAATTTGTGTACCTCCTTGTATTTCGAGTGAATTGATTGAGGTTGTTTCTCTATGTATTTTGTACTCTCATATTTGTAGTGCATTGCTCATCTCCTTTGTTGACGTAGGTCGATTGACCGAGCCACGTTAAATTTATGTGTCTTTTGGTATGTTTCTCATTTGTCTTTTTACCCGTGGTCTTTCAAGGTTTGCTTTGTTATTTTTCACGTTACACCTGCTTATTTTCGGTCCTAACAAGTGGTATAAGAGTCAGGTTCAACGATGGAGTCATGTTAGAGATGTGTGTTCATCTTTGGGGGTGTAAATTTAGCCACAACCTTTTTGACAATAATGAAGATTTTTGTTGGAGAAATTATTTCATAGTGATTCTCTGTGTCAATACAAAGATTTAATGGAGAAGATTATGGAGAGGAGAAACAAATTGTTTAAGATTATGTAAAGAAGGTGGACAAATTTATTTTGTCAGAAATTCAGGCCAAGGGGTTGCCGTGACTTTCTTACTATAAATAGGTTTTCCTTTTAGAAAATGTTTTGGAGTGGCTAGTCATTTTCTAGTAGGAAAAAGTTTAGGACTCTATAAATACAGGTTTGTTCCTTCTAACTTAATTAATATTCACAATGTAGTCCTAGGGTTTTGAGAGTTGCAGTTATGAGAGAGAATTTTATGTACTTCATTGTATTCCGAGTGAATTGGTTGATGTTGTTTCTCTCTATATTTTGTATTCTCGTATTTAAAGTGGATTGCCATCTCCTTTGCGGATGTAGGTTGATTAACCAAATCACGTTAAAACTTCGTGCCTTTTGATGTGTTTCTCGTTTCTCTTAGCTTTCGCATTACACCTGATTATTTTGATCCTAGCTTTCGCATTACACCTGATTATTTTGATCCTAACACTACTTGGGTTAGATATCAACCAAAATCTCGATGCTTTGAAATGAATTGGATTGAGATAGTAAATAAGTCAATAAACAATCCATGTTTAAACGAGTAGTAAATGATTTGATGGACTATTTTTGTCACCTTTTTAGACAATTGATCAAATTCAATTTAAGTATTAGTATAATTAGAACTTGTCATAATTTTCATTAACATAAATGTGAAAAAATCTTTAATGCCTAAAAATGTTATTTCGAAAAGTTGGACATTTATTGTGTAATAAAACATAGTTTGACTAATAAAATGAAACTGTTGCTCAAGAATATATAATTATCCTTTCATCTTATTTGTGAGTATATATCATGAAATTACATTCTTTGAAAAAAACTTCATAAGATGAATTTTTATATGATCACTAGTTTAATCTTTTCATTGTTATTTATCTTGTCCTTGAGTGGAGTTGTTGCTACTAATTCCACCAAGTCATTTCTAGCTCACTATGAAGTATGGATTGTTAGTGACCTCCCTAATGGAACACATCCTTTATTTTTTCGTTGTTGGTCTAGACATAGTGATTTGGGATCTCATTTCCTAAATCCTGATGATCCTGAGGGCTTTCATTGGCGTTTTCGTCAAAATTTTTGGCAAACAACTAAGTATCAATGTGAATTCGTTTGGGTTACCAAGACCTTGACATTTAATGTTTTTAATCGAGGCTTATCAGCCAAATGTCAAGGTCATGGTAATATATGTTATTGGTTGGTTAGGGAAAATGGCTTTTATTTTGCAAATTATGTCAATCCTTTTCCAGGTGACTTAAAGCAAATGTATTCATGGTGATATGATTGATGATATAATCTATGACAATGAAAACAAAATATTATTGACTTGTTTGGTGTTATTAATTGTTGTTTTCTCTTTGATATATCATGAGTATTCATAAACACTAATAATTTCAACTCAAAAAACTTATGTGCAATTATATGTATTTAATTTAATACTGTTGTGATTTTATACATCGTGATTCAAACTTTATTTTAGAGTTTTAAAGTCATTAAATTAATTTTTGTAATAAAAAAAATTATTTAGACTGTTCTAAGCATTACAAAAGGTTATTTTGTTTGTCTCAATTCATTTTGCTTAATTTGGAGTATAATATTCAAGCTAACTATTGTACATGTGAATTCAAACATAAAGTTTTCATTTTTTTAATAATGAATTTATATATTTATAAGATTATATAAAAAATATTTTAATTCATAAAAATTAATGAATCAAAATATTTGAAAAGTTCTTGAACGAATTATTATTAAAGAAAATAATTTTGATTGTTCAAACAGTAACTAAGGCAAATAAATTATAATAAGAAGAGTAATAAAATTAAAGTAAGAGGAGTAATAGCTATGTATCATTCCATTTATGAAAACAATATTTTTTTTGTTGAGATTTTATGATTGAAGTTTCTTAGACAAATCATGCTATGGCAGTAGGAGATTCTTTAAACATGGAAAGAGATGTTAGGATCCAAGGAATGAAATAAAATATCAAATTTTGTGACTCTACCATCTAAGTTTATTCCTGAAAAAACAATATATAGTTATTTGCTTATCAAGT